GGGTGTGGGTGTGGGTGTAGTACATCTCTTGGCCAATACTCACACTCACACCCACACCCACCTCACACCCACACCCACCCCACACCCACACCCACACCACACCCACACCCACACCCACACCCACACCTTATCACTAAATAGAGCAACCAGAGGATGCTACTTTTAAATGGTATACTCTTAGTGGCGAACACACAAAAATTCTTTATTGAACAAACATTCTATACGGATAAATTATTTTATCTGCGAGCGCAGTTCTGTTACGGAAAGAGTTGTGTTGAGAACATTTTACCTTATTCTTGGGGAAAAGTGAGTGTGGCATAGTGGGCAGCCAGGGGGCAAAATTTTTTTCCTTGGGTTCTCATTTTCTTAGTCACATTACGCACAATAAAGCTGAACAGTATTTCATATGAAAATGCATTCAGTGCGCTGCAAAATGCATATTTACTTGTTCTTAGAAACTCTTTGCTCAAAAAAGTTTTATCAAAAATACTGGAAGTTTTTCTCGCTCCTGGCCTTCTCTGCCTGCCCACTGTGGGTGGGTGGATCGATGAGGGTGAAGATGATTGACTCTTCTTCATTCCCACTCATCCTCACACTCACTCACCCACCCAACTTGAGTTCCATTTGACTATTGTATGGCAAATTCAACTCATTTAGATTTCATCTCAATTATGTCTCATTTTCATATCGCGGTGATTATTCTCATGTTGCAACCATGATTCTTTATTCATCTATCTGAATACATGTTTAGCATAGTATTCTTTTTTTTAAATTATACTCTGTTATTTTCTTTCTAGGAGGGACAAGGTTATTAGACAAATCGTATAGTAAGTGAAAATAAAGTAAGAGAAAAGCTGAAGAAAAGAAAAAGCACGTGCGCCGCACGACGGGTAGTTTATAATGATTATGAAAGATAAACTTATCTAAAAGCGGTTCGAAGGAAAAAAACATTATTTCTTGAGTGCAAAAGAGTTATGGCATCCTCAAATCGCTTGCTCTTGCTCGTTAAGAAACCTTTTCTACTTGTTTTGACTCTTGCCATCGTTATTCCTCTGTACTATGGTTCAGCAAATCCGCAGTATGTTTGTTTGCGTCTTTTCCATTCTTTACTCTCAATCAAGCACTCTTTTGTGCCAGATCCAGCTCGACCAATGCTCAGTGCGGGCTATCGTGCTTTTGAAGATATACTTCGTTTCAAACCAACACTTGAGCTTGATTTGCTGGCTGATCCATTAGAAATAGCCAGAAAATTACGATCGTCTTTTCCACTCGACACCATGGTTCCTCGACCTTCCAGCTGTCGAGTCAATAAACAAGTGTACGAGTACGAAGGACACAAGGCAGAAGCCTATTGGATTAATCATCATGTTGGAAAAGAACAAAGAAATACAGATCAGATTGTCATCTACTTGCATGGTGGTGCTTATATTAGGGGCGATATCAATGGTAAGCCATTTGATCTTCTCAGGCGGATAGTTCAATTCCGACACTTCATAGAAAAATTATTTTTCAATCAATCCTGCCTATAGTGATACTGAGCAATGTAGATAAGATTTAGAAGTTCACTTTTCGTTCAGTGTGACTGAGTCTCCTACGGAAGAGAATTTGCCTTTTCCTAGTAAGACAACAGACTACCAAAAAGCTTGTTGCGGAAATCAGTCAAAAAGAAGTCTTTCAAAAGCTTCGGAACTGTTAGTATTCGTTGAAGATTGAATTGAATGATGAGGATTAAAATTTCACACGTTTCGATGGTCATATACATTTTTTGCTCCCATAACAATTACCTTCAATTTAATACTGTTTGTTCTTTTAAATTTAAAACTGATGCTGCGTGCTCATTTGTATACATGAAAATTGTCATATAATAATATCTATATGATAGACTTGTGATTTTGTCCAACCATGAACTATGTTTGCATTTTCTAGTTAGTACCTTAACAGCAAAGAATTCTCTTTTACAGGTTATAGCGGATTCGAGTGCCATTTGTCTCATCTTTTCAACATGTCTTTGCTCCATTTGGAATATCGACTTGCTCCTGAACATCCGCTGCCAGCAGCTGTCGACGATACACTCGCATTTTATCGTGCTCTTCTTCGCGATGGTATCTCTTCTTCTCGTCTCATAATTATGGGAGATTCGGCCGGTGGTGGTCTTACTTTATTGACAGTTCAGGCTCTTCTTGCTCGTCATTTACCTATTCCTCGTGCTATCATTACTATGTCTCCGTGGACTGATTTTTCATCGTCTGGTGAGAGTTACAAGCGCAATCTCCTAACTGATGTAATGCTTCGCTTAGAAAGCCTCAGATGGGGTGTCGAACAAGTACTGGGTCCAAATCACGTTCAACTAGCACGGGACAATCCTTTATACAGTCCTCTTTTCGGTTCATTTCAAGGATTCCCTCCCATGTATATCGTAGTGGGCACAGCAGAATTAGTAGAAGACGATTCGAGACAAGTGGCAGACAAAGCACGAAAAGCAGGTGTAGATGTAACATTGGAGGTCGGACTTCATATGATGCATGTGTATCCAATTTTATTTTCGTATTTTTCTGAAGCAAGAAATACACTCGACAACATTCATCAATGGATCGAAGCACAATTTCAACGACAAATCAACGACTAGATAGGATCCATCGTCTGTCGCGCCACACCAATCATAATTCAATATATACCGATGAATATAAATTTTCTTTTCCGAATAAATTGAGATAATTTGACGTTTCTTTTATAGCCACGTCAAAACGAAAGAATATAGTTTTCATCGGATATATGCTCATGTTTCAGATATTGAAAATCTATCACATTGTGCTGGTTGCCGTGAAAATCAGCGAAACATGATAGTTGACAAATCGACGTAAGACTATCAAATAAGTACTCAAGAAAGGTGTTCACTCATGAGAGAACCTCCTGAGGTGATAAAAAGCTTTTGAGCTTCAACTACTTTTATCGTGTAGGTCAGAGTGAGCAGTGAAATACCTAAACTTGCTTTCTGCTCAAAATGTTCTGGGGTGGAGTCATGACCGTTTTATCAATTTTTCGATCTATTCAGTGGCGGAGCCAGGGGGCAGCATAAGGGGAGGGCTCAGCCCCTCCTACGAAAATGGGTGTGGGTGTGGGTATCAGTAGAGAGGTTACCCACACTCAACTGCACCCTTCCTTGTACTCGCATGTACTTCCGGAGTTCAGGAAGTACAATGGGATTACAAGAGTACGCGGAGTACGTCGTCCCCCCTTGGATTCAATTGATGCTGAACGTTTTTCATTAAAATCTTTACGTGTTTTTGCTCGAACACTTATTATATACACGTAAGTAAAGTTAGCAGCAGATTCGAGTATTTTCGCCAAATATTCGCAACAACCACTGTGCCAGAATAAATATTGGTTGTGCCAGGCAGCCCATCGAATATACTATATAATGCCATAGGTTCAACAAGTTTTCATTACATAACGTCCCCGCAAAATAAAAAATACTGATTAAAAAAAGCTCTTTTTAGTGCGAATACCAGTATTTCGCCCAAATATTCGCTCCTCACTTTGTACCACTCATGAAACCACTCGTACAAGATAGAGCTCGATGAGATCTATCGATTGATACCAAATAAGCGATGATCCAAGTAAAGGGACAGGTACCAAGGAGTCAGTACCTCTGAGAGACAGCCCTCGGGACACTTAATCCAAGGAAATATTCGCTCAGATGGTTATGCCACTCATGAAATCATTTGTGCAGATAGAACTCGATCAGATCTATCGGTTGATACTAAATAACCGATGATCCAAGTCAAGGAACAGGTACCAAGGGATGAGTACCTATTACAACCATCGCTCGAGGACCATTAATCCGAGGAAATATTCGCTCAGATCGTTATGCCACTCGTGAAATCATTTATGCCAGATAGAACTCGATGAGATCTATCGATTAATACTAAATAAACGATGATCCAAGTAAAGGAACACGTACCAATGGGTGGATACCTATGAGAATCAGGCCTTGATGACTCTTAATCCGAGGAAATATTCGCTCAGATGGATGTGGATCCGGATGTGGAGGTGTTGGTCTGGGTGTGAGGAGTACATACACATACACACCCACACCCCACTTCTACGATCTACTCAATGTGCCTTCATCTATCGATCCTTCTGTCATTTCAACCATCATTGTGCCGACTATCTCTGCTCAAGAAGACCAACGACAGAGCAAATCACCTTCTCTTTCTGAGATAGAACAAGCAATTGCCCGAATGAAATGTGGAAAGGCTCCGGATATGGGTGGAATCACAGCCGACGTCCTAAAAGCTGGTGGTCGTGTACTCGCTAGACGATTACAAAAACTATTTGTCGATATATGGGAAAGTGAAGAAGATATGGAAGACTGGTCAACTGCCATCCTCATCCGTCTTTTCAAGAACAAAGGAGACAAAAAGGATTGTGGAAATTACCGTGGAATCTCCCTTCTACCCGTTGCCAGCAAAGTCTTCTCCCGAATCATCCTCAACCGTGTACAACAGCACCTCAGCTCTCAACTACTCGAAATACAAGCCGGCTTTCAATCAAATCAATCTACCATTGATCATATATTCACTCTCAAGATGCTCCTCGAACATACACGAGATTACAACAAACCACTTTTCCTATGTTTCATCGATATTCAAAAAGCATATGATTCTGTCAACCGTGCTCTTCTTTGGACGATCTGCAAGCATTATGGACTCTCTTACAAAATCGTTCGTCTTCTACTACTACTCTACAACGACTCAAAAGCCCGAGTCCGTATCAGCGGCGAACTCTCCCTCCCTTTCAATATAGAAAATGGCGTACTTCAAGGTGGCATTCCATCTCCAATTCTCTTCAATGTATTTTTCGATTTCATCATCCGTCGAGTGCTCGAACAACTTCAGATCCTCAATATTACTGGTGTGACACTGTCGTGTGGCAAGAATTTCTTCCATTCTACAACTGACGATGATGATGATCTGCAACTCTTGGCTCTCTTGTATGCCGACGATGTCGCTCTATCTACAGACAATGCTCTCGATCTCGAGTTAGCTATCAATACTTTCAAAGAAATAACTCAGCAATTTGGGATAACTATGAGCATCAAGAAGACGTGTATTATGCCCATGAGGCAATTGGAAGAAGACGTCTCTAGAAAAATCACCAAAGGACAAGAAGTACAAATGCCTCCCATCAACATCAACATCCGTCAAGAAGACATATACATAGTCGATGAATTCTGCTATCTCGGTTATCACTTTACTCGAGATTTTTCGTCCGACAGAGAAATTGATGTCCGTCTTGCCAAAGCCTCAACAGCCTTCAATATGCTTCGTCACGTCATCTGGTATAGGAAAACGGTCTCTACAACTGCACGTCTATGCATATTTCGTTCTTGTGTTCTACCTGTCCTTCTCTATAGCAGTGAAGTATGGACTTTGACAGCAAAACTTGAACAACGACTATGCACCTTCTACCACCGATGTCTTCGTACGATTATTGGTGTGAATCTCGGCGATCGAATGTCAAACGAACAACTACTTACTCTAACTGGACAACCTTCACTCGTTGATATCATGAGACGCAACCGACTCAGATGGTTTGGCCATGCAAATCGTATGAATAATCTTGATGGAACACTCTCTCTCGTCAAGAAAACCATGTTCTCATACTATTCTAACTCAAAACGACCTCTTCATTCGGGGAAGCGAAAGACATGGCAAGATATGATAACCGATGACCTAGAAAAATGTGGAATAAGGAATTGGAGAAGGGAATCCATGGATCGAGATAGTTGGAGAGCTAAAATCAATCAACATACACAAACAAGACCTCCAGCATCGAATATCTTAGATATTGTTCATCAATTCAAACAACGAGCTCAACATAGAAGAGCAGCTGCTCTCTTTCCTCCTCCGCCTAAAGTCACGGAACTGATTCCCAAGAACAACGATCGAACGTACACATGTCCCAATTGCAAAAGGAAATTTCAACCACAAGGAATTACCAAGCACGCAAAATCTTGTGCAAAGAAGTGGTGTGAACAAAATGGGATTTCAATTGATTGATTGGTTGGTGTATCCTACTTGTTGAAGAAACGAATTGGCCCATACAACAGCGCTCAATGACGGTCCTCATCCAACCAAGTCCTTGTGGCTTGAAGATGACAACCTGACAACTGCTGGAAGACGGAACCAATTCAATGAACGAACTGAACATTGAGCGAATGAACTTTTACTTTTGTGTTCTAGTTTTTTGTACATTTTTTTTTGTCTTCACCCAAAACCTGCTTGGTACGGGTATAATATAGATAGATAGATAGAGATACTGATTAACTTTGATTGAGCTGTATCAATACTTAACTCACCCTCAACCCTAAGAGAAGGTAAGCAAAGTCCTTCCTTTCATTTAGTGTTCTTATCAAAAAATAAAAACCAATCTGACCGTTGGCGTTCTCTCTCTCGCTCTATCTCTTTTTTCTTTACACTCTATTCTCATATTCGCCATTCATTCACTGTACCATTTGTTTGCAGCACTGATTGACTTCTTCTCCTTGTCTCTAGTATCATATTTCACCGAAATCCTCTTCAAAATGCTGTGGAAGTAGATTATAAACGTCATCATTATATCTCACACCCACCTATATTGATTATAGTGTCATGATCGAAGGATTCTTTTCTTTTTATCATCAAGAAGTATATGTATCATTGCGTTTTTTCGTTTTGCGACTCGCTATTCATGTTCTTCTTTGAATATAATTTTCTCCCTTGTTCAGTTCTTCGGTACACATGACATGATTGTAGTGCTCACTGGTTTCTTATGTGTATATATAAAATACGGTACATTTCATAAAATGTTAAGGTCAATTAAAGGTCATATAAGCAAGAGAGCGAGAGAAAAATACTTCATGAGATTGTCTCGAATGACGGTTGAACGAGGATGAATATAATAGCAAGCTGTTGAAAGAGAAAGAGAAAGAGAAAGAAAAAAAATCGCGCAGATTTGTTCACTGTTCTGTTCTCTCTGACTCATTCATACACATTTAGATCCTTCATTTATACATACATCACAAGGCATTGTTTTACGTGATAGCAATAAACATGAATGACCGATTCAACTGTTACTGTCATCTCTTCTGGCTACTTCTTTTCGTAGTCAATACCACTATCATTAATGGCTTTGTGGACAATGAGAACACGAAGTCGGCATCAGTGTTCTTTCGGTGGTCAGCGGGATTTGACCGAAATTTCAAAGCAATTCGGTGTGCTACGGATCAATCTTCAGAGGATCCTACCAATCGTCTGGTCGATGTCTATCCTGAAATGCAAGGTGTGTATCAAGAACTGAACGAGCATAAGAAAAATATCCTTTTGTGAAATGCCTTACAAAAGGATTTGTGACCTATAGAGGTAAAAATCGAGTTTCCATCTCTTCCTCTACATATCTTGCTTGGCATGACTAGTGATACTATCAGAAGCCGATCGTAACAGACAAATTAGTATTCTTCCTTACTCTTGGCGTGCTCATGATAGACATAGATGTCGAGTGAAAGAAAATGAGACTCTGATTTCACAAATCGCTCTTACACTTGTAAGATATTCAATAGAGTCCCTTGAAAAAAGTGTCTAATGC